ATAGACAAATCAAGGATAAAGAAACTCACATTGCATTTCGAAATGCATTAATCGATCATTTGTGAGATGAACATATGAATTCTGAAAATTAAATTGCAAAAATTTAGCGACCTCGTAATATCGTCTATCCAAATTCAAAATGCATTGTACTATTTTCTGATGGCATGATTTCATATTTTCGTTGTTGTAGTATTTTTATTAATTGTTCTATGTTTTTTATATTTGTTAATGAATTTAATCTTTTCCGTAATTTAACGTAATTATTTATTTAGTAATTTATGTATTTATGAAATAATTAAATAAATAATATTTCAAATAAATAAATTATAAAGAATAAAAAATGGAAGAAAATGGTTAAACACTGTTCATTTGATGTAATTTTTGATGTAATGGTTGGAGATGAATTTTAGTTTGGTACAAGATTCGATGCAAATTTTGTTGCAAAATGGTGCAAATTTTGGTGCAGGGTTGGAGATGGCCTGATGCTCCATCTCCACATGTATCTTATACGCGCCCAAAAGTTTATTAGTCACCAAAACTTTGGTACTTGAGAGTAACAGTTATTGAAGCTCAGGGTCTTTATTTAACACCGAATCTTCCTCCATTAACCGTGCCAGAGATTTGTGTGAAGGTTCAGCTCGGGTTCAAGACTCAAAATTTCAAGGATTCTCACGCCTCTCCGCTTCAAAGACTCTCATCCTATTCTCACGCCTTTGTCTACCATTAACAGGTTCGCCTCTCTCTATCTCTGGCCTTTCTTTGCTGTGAAAGTTTACGTGAACAGGCTTCTCACTCTCTGGCCTTTCTTTGCTGTGAAAATTTTTCTGTATATGTATGCTATTTTATTAATTGATGATGATTTTTCGAAGTTTTTGTTGAGGAAGTACCCAAAATCTTTAACACTATTTTTGTTGAATATTGGGTTTGATTAATTAGCTAGTGATTTTTTCCCCCACAATCGGGTTGATAGACAATGAGTATCATTATGTAATCTGGCCCAAAATATGAAGGCAACTGAAGAGTTCCGTTGGTATCAAGCTATAGTATGAGTATTTTGTTGGTGTAATTATATTTATGCAGTTTGGAATGAATACTTTTTCTGTAGCAAGGGCTTCTCTATGACAATCAGATTTGTTGTTGGGAAACTCGTTTTAATGCAATTGGAGATTGGAACCTTTCTCCTTCTCATTAAATAAGTAAAAAAACATAACATAGCTCGTGGTGGTGTTGTGGAAACGTGGATCTTTTGACTGCACTGTCAAGCAAAAGGTGGTGAATACTCGAAGGTAGAGGAAGAAATTAAATACAACCCAATAGACTTTTGAGTTTCAAAAAATTGTTTCAGGTGTTCATCTATATAAGAATTTCATTCTCTTAATTAAATTTCATAAGACGGTAGGAATAGAGAATGAGTACATATCCTTTCCCATGTTGAATGGAAATGTTTTTTGAAGGGAGATATTTTTTTCGATGATGCATGCATAATTCAGATTACTCAGATAGTCAGATGTTTGATATTGCAGTGAGTTGTGAAGAAATAATTTCAATGGTTTATTAACTAGTGACATAGAGTTGCTTAGGTATATGCTAGACAAAAATTGAGTAAAGGGCATATTTTATTTATCTAACATCTAAAGACGGTCAATTGAAGTCTTGCAGTCAGATTCTTGATTTCTAGTCGATAAGGCTTTACGTTTTTACACAAGGTGGACTCATTATCATGTCTTTGTGGGCTAAGTTTAATGTTATCCTTGATGTTGAAGATGTGAGAGTGCTGCTAATTCATTGATAAATTTGGAATAATTCCCCTTTTATTTGCCAATTATTATGTCTTTGTTGAAATTTTCATCTAATTCTGAGCATGTTTTTGTGGTAGGACAAAATTGGTAACGTTCCCCAGTTGGATGCACTGCCAATGGAACAATTTTTAACAACCTTTTTTTTATGTTACATTATTCAAATGTTTGAAGGAATATATATATATATATATATATATATATATATATATATATAA